GGGGGGGGGGGGGATAACTTAAAAATTTCTAAAAAATCCGAGAACGATTTCCCCCATTTCTTGTCTTGCACAGAGGTCCCTCCGCATGCAAAACAACAAATAAGAAACACCCCGCTCGAATACGTGCGTCGGAAGGCACATTCAATTGCGAAAAATTACCCTTGGAAAACTTAAAATAACCTTATATGTATATTATAGTAACAACATTTTATAGTATAACTTATTATATGCAAATTTGATTTATGTGTAAGATAACCATACAATTAGTTGAATGAATACATATTATGGTCATTATGATCATAATTCAGTGTTCAGGTTACAATAATTCATATGGTCAAAACAATTATAAATTAATGCTTGTCGCAAAAAATGACCATAAATTCTAGTTAAATGGTTATTTCAACTATTTTTTTCTCTTAGTATAGAAAGTGCCTGTGGAAGCCTCAAGAGTTTTAAGTATCCTTATTTTTATTTTGTAAAAGACGATACATATCACGTTCCGTATGTAATATTTCGAAGTGTAAGTAATCGTATATTACTTTAATAAATCAGATTACACGAGAATAATCATTTCAATATACAAACTTTTATATGAATATCTTGAAATGTGAAAGGTTGAAATATTTCTGAAAACTTTCTGGAATAATCGGTGCTGTAAAGGGCGGAAAACCTCTAACACTATATTTCACCGAAATCTGGCGACTTTTGGCATTTCCATTTCCGTCCGCGCGCTATATTGAATTAGTTACTTTTAGTTTTTCTATTCTATATTGATTCAGCCATTTTAAACTTTCAAATTTTAAATTCGTATTCAGAATCAGAGACTGTAAAAATCTAACGCTACATTTCGCCAAAACCGAGCGACTTTTAGCATTTCCGTCCACCGTATTGGTTCAGCCATTTTGAATTTTCAAATTTGGGTTTCTATTTTCAAATTTTAAATGCGGATTCGGCATCAGCATCCCTGAAAACCCCTTAATTACCTACATTTTGCTGTAATCGGAGAATTTTCAATATTTCCGTCCACCATATTAGTTCAGCCATTTTGAATTTTCAAAGTTCAAGTTCGGATTCAAAATCAGTGACCCTGAAGACCCTTTTGCACTACATTTTGCTAAAATCGGAGGATTTTTAGCATTTCCGTCCGCCATATTGGATCAGCCATTTCGAATTTTCAAATTTTAAGTTTTGATTCGGCATGAGCGACCCCGAAAACCCATAACTGCTTAATTTCGCTGCAATCAGAGAATTTTTAGTATTTCCGTCCGCCATATTGGAAAATCTAAGTTCAGATTCGGCATCAGCGACCCCAAAAACCCTTTATTGCTTCATTTCGCTATACAATCGGAAAATTTTTAGCATTTCCATCCGTCATATTGATTCAGCCATTTTGAATTTTCAAAATCTAAGTTCAGATTTGGCATCAGCGACCCCGAAAATCTTCTAATGCTTTATTTCACTGAAATCGGAAAACTTTTATCATTTCCGTGATAAATCCGCCATATTGGTTCAACCATTTTGAATTTTCAAATTTTGAGACCGGCGAACCCCAAAACCTTTGGATACAACATTTCAACGGAAATGAAGTACTCTAACAGCCTCAACGAAAAGAGGCTTCAGGGCAGATAACACGGCAACTTTAAGAGAGGAAAATAATTCACAGAAAATAAATATGAAGCTGCATTTTTATCGATCTCTTTTTCTTCTTGTTTTATTACGAGCGGTTGCTATAAATCGAGATGCTTGATATTAAAAGATGAATAACGGAAATAAAACGTAATGAGATATTATTATAATAACGCTGTGACACATTTTGCAAAAAATGCAAAAGGTATCGTTGCGGAAAAATGTTTTACGTTCCGGCATTTCCTGTGGTAGAATTAATGTTAATTCTATTAAATGTTAATTCAATTCACATGGGATTTTAACGTGATATTACAGTATATCTTCGAGGCGTTCTTACCGTCGCTACTACATCGGGAGTCGACCTTTCTCCTTTTCAACTTGAGATCTTGAAACAAGCTCATGTTTTCTATCTCACACGGGCTGCTCGGAAGGGTCATAATTCCTGAAAGCAGAAAATGACAAGGATCAGCCTGTTATTCGTTAAATGAATTATTCACAAACAAGGGAACGATTTATTCTTAAATGATTTTGTCTTCGCAGAAATGTTTAAAGCAATACTAAACTGAAATAAAATCATGCTTCCGTACTTGAATCAATTCTTGTGTCTCATACAACAATGACTTTTATATTTATTTCAAAGTGACATTTCAAAATGAGCTTAATCTTTACGAATACTAAGATTTTATTCGGACCGACAAGAATTAAACACTAAGTATAAGTATATTCAGGCCTATGACGATCAAAGCTAGATCTTTTTTGCCTAAATAATTCCCAGTGAATTATCTATATCTTATATATGTACATGCATATATATCATAAATATATATGCTATAGTAAATAGTAATAATATAAATTTATTTAAGGTTTTCAGCACATTGTCAATTTAATTTAACTTGTGATATTATTGCAGTAGTTTAATTGCGTTAAATAAAGTCCGGAAAAATTATGAAATATGAAATGCATTTTTCAATCTAATTGAATAAAAAAGTTTTTATTTAAAAATGGACCATAAATGTTACTTAAATTATTCAAGATTATAAGTAGGAAATTTTTCATTTTAATCCAAATAAATTCAAAAAAGTTGTAACGTAAAAATAATTAAGCTATGTTTTTTTGTTTCTCTTTGATTAGAAGTAAAATGAATGATCGATGTGAACACTAGCAAACCAAGTCGAACACAGTCCGAATATTATGCTGATCGTGGCGCGCGACATCGGCCAAGCGAAATTAGATTATCCGACATTTATCCAATGTTGTCTCATAGTAATGTTTATATTAAATTGTTTATGTTTTATTATATCTATTAAATAATGATTTTTATTATATGTATATAATTTCGTGCACTGGTTTAGCTAGTTGTAATTGAAGTAGAGAATGAATAACACATTTACCAATTGAAGAAGTTGTGTAGTGGGTAACGTAGAACATTCATAATACAGAGATCCCAGGTTCACAGATCATGATTAGCAATAATAATTTTTGAAAATTATTTATAGAGATAGCAACATCCGGAAACTGGAAAACATTGCAGTATTTGGAAAATCTGTCTCTAATGAGAAATTTCTTTTATGAAGAATAAATAAAATAAATTATATTCATTAATTTACGTTTTTTTTTTAATAAAATCATTGACTTCTTAATTATTTCTACAATTAAAAACGCTCCCCTAAAAAAAATCGATTATCGATACTTTTAAGCGAATAATCGATTTATTAAAATTAATGGGTTCGAACATTGATTATTCTAACATCGATATTTTTTTCGCACGTGGCTCACCCTTACTGTGTACAATTTGACGAGATTCCAGCTAGTTATGAGAGATTAATTTATGTCGGCCAAATAATTCAATTTTATCACCATGCAATGATCATATTAAGCGTTACATATTGTTAAGATGTGATAATACACGATAGTACCCCGAGAAAAAAATGTTTCATTATATACAAAAAATTATATAAAATTATATAAAATATTATAAAAAAATATAATTATATAAAATTATATAAAACTATATATA